ATGTACTAGCTTGCTAACATCAATTTCATGCTTGTAAACAACTTTTTTTTTTTGAAATGAAGGGGACGGTTCAACAGTCAATATGTCACCAAATTCGCGTAAAACTTTCATTTGCAAATGTTCAGCTTTGTAGTTTTTAAAGTCTTCTTTGCAAAATTTTTCATTGGAAATTTCTAACAACAGAGCCTGATACCTCGAAAAAAGATCAGCTAAGAAAAAAATTCTTTCGTTTTCAATGATTTCAACATGAATGAAAGAAGAAAGTGATTCAAATGCAGCTGCATGAATATTTCTTAAATCGTGCCAATCGCCTTTTATATTGAGATTATCAGATAACTGTCTCGAGTACTTGGTTTGATTTAAACTAAAACAAGCTGGATGATAAAAAGTCGTTTTTGAACTTCCTAATTGTTGAAGTAATTTTTTGTTATCCATATTCTCTGCAATTTTTTTATGCTATCTATTGTACTTTGGGAACTACATGGCCTAGCCTTTACTAGACGAGCACCACTTCTTTTTTGCACGGTGCCGCAAAAAACGCAGTTTTGACGAGGGCTGTCACTATCATTTGGCAACGAAAATGCAAGCGTATCTTCAACGCGCTCATCCGCATCACTACTGATGGTTGAAACGTTCAGGGAAAATAATGCTTCCTCTTGGTGCTTTGGGGTCGATGCAGCGAATTTTTCCTGTTAGAAAAAATTAGTTATGTCAGCCCATAACGAAAGTAATGGTTTCTTAATTTCAACTTCATAAAAACGTCACACACACACAAACACCCACCCTCACACCTCACACTGCTAATATTGTTTATTAATATTTCAACCAAACTTATAAATAAAGTAAAATTTTTTGCTTTGTTGTTTATCAATGATTAATACTCATACAAAACCTTACTATGCAGCTACTACTTACAAAAAGAGATTTTACTCAATTACACTTACATCCATTTTTAATATTTCTTCGAACTCATCCTTGTATTTTTTCTTCAGAACCATGAATTTTGCCTTGCACTCAGGGTGGTAACCGACATTTTGTTGACCAATATCTGGTATATTGATATCGTGATACTTGTATTTTTTTTTCTTCCGAAAACGCAACATACGTGAAACGTTTGTAATTGTAGCAGGGTTGAAGGGAAGTATATTTCCCTTCTTCAAGCGGCACAAAAAACATGTATTTCCTGACATTTTTACGGCATTATATAAGACACTCGCGTTGATTGACATCACGATAGGTACACGTGATTCTATCAAACCAGTCTATGGTTAGCGGCTCTAGCGGGTCTACCCGGAACTCGCGCGCTGTCAAGGTGAAAAAGGAAAAGGTAAAGCCAAAATCATCACGCTGTGCCACTTCCTTGGGTCAGGTAAAATACAGGCACGTATATGTATTCTTGTAGAAAAAATCATGCTCTTTCCATTGAGTACATTTTCAACCTGTTATCACGTGACGGAAATTTATTTGAAAATAGTGTTGAAAAAAAATCGCTGTGCCAATAATTCGCATCAGACAAAGGGGTGGCACAGCTATAGTTTCAAGATGTATTCTGTGAAAGGTGTGTAATGACATACGTTTGAAGTCATTATCAGATCGCGAAAAATTTCCCAGATTACAATAAAAAAATTTAGATATAATAATTACTAAGGTCAAAATAATAATTGGCACAGGTACGGTTCTATCAAAAACTATGTCTTTAGTAACCTTATCGACATACCCCATGTCGTTATCAAATGACGGTCGAATTTTGCAGCCGGCTCTTGGACTATAAGTAAGAAACACTTGTTTTCAATGACAGGATTGAACAAAAATGTTAACAAACAATGCTAATCTAGTCCACTAATGACCTAAGAACCAGGTAATTTACAGAAGGTGTCATTATAGAAAAATGCAGTAAATGCACTGAATAAGTATAATTTACTCAATAGTAAAAGAGATAGGCATTTGTGCATCTCCGTTCAAATATTGTACCTACAGCTTTTCGCTAAACTTGTTTACATAATATTAGTCCTTGACCATTATACATGGTCTATTGTGTTTAACAATAAATGAAGAGAATATGTAAACCTGGAAAGGATAGAGAAACATCGTTGGTCTCACTCAAGGAGTAGGTACATCGTCTAGAGATGTGTATTGTTGGTGGTCTAACCCATTGCAATAACATTGAAATACAAATTGACTACAGAGGCTATTATGAACCAATGGAACTGATGTATTTCAACTAAACGTGTTTTTAGATGATACCATTGAATAAAAAACCACATAGAAAGCCAACGCAATGCTTTTTTATGGGGCCAGTTTAACGGAGTTTCTCCGCAGGTTGCCCCCTAGGACAAACTCCGCTAATTAAAATTAATTAAATTGTAATCGAGGATTTATACCACCTACTGAACTGATTCAACGCGGTTAGATTTCTTTAGATGACACTACATTCGCGCCATTATCTCGTAGACTGTGTGGGTGTTAAAAAAACTGCCTGAGAAGGTCATAATTCGAGATCATATTACAATAGCGGATTTACAAACGTAATTAAATACAATGATGGTATAATATAGTTACTTACGCCACTGACAAGAGACGAGATCAATATTATGACCTATCTTAATTCGATTTTACAGACTTTAGGTTGAAAATAAGTTTTAGGTACTACCTAATTTTGGGATTTTTAAGATAATATTGTCAGCCGTGTTCGTGCTCTTATTTGCAGATATTGTATAATTGCTGCTCCCCCCATTTATAAACGAAAAATAACATGGATACATTTGGAATATCTTACTTTAAACAACAACAAAACTTTAAAATTCAACTAAAACTAAAAATGTAAACTGTGTAATATGTATAGTCTATATTATTTATGATATGAAATAAAAGACTTAAATCGGTTTCATGGAAAAAATAACTATTGGCACTTTTGCGAAGCCTTAAGACTCGAAAACGACATGCCGGCACGTTTAGTACCTGCTGCTACAGATACTGTTAACTGGTATGCAGTCATGAAAATCATCCAAATGATATAAACTTTAGGACAAAACGGATCCCCGCGATTAAAAATGTGCCAAAATTGGTAGCGAATATTTTGTCGTTTTTTGCGATGTTTCTCGTGAAATTATTTTGCTAACTACTCGTCAATTTTCCACCCAAAATCCAATCACGAAGCAATTTTAATGGAGATATATTCTATTAATCTCAATGGTGTACCTAAAATAAACAGTGAACAAAAAAGGATTTCCGTTCACGGCAAGATTTATGATAAAAGTTCCTTCTTTGCCTATGGGATTGACAACCTCTATCTATAATAAACCTACCTGTGTACGTGCTTATTTTCGTACTTAGGAAGCGGGTGCAGGTCAAGAGCCATAAAGTTTATGGTTGTTTAAAATCACCCCTAATTTTTTAATAAAACGTCATGACAACTGAAAAATTTGTCTAGTATCTTCCTAGAGTTTGTTCGTAGCGTTTACTGTTTTTAGCGCATTTCCACAAAAATAAAAAAAAAATGCGCTATTGTGGCCACTTTGTCCGCGTCGTCCGTCCGTCCGTCCGTCCGTCCGTCCGTCCGTCCGTCCGTCCGTCCGTCCGCTAACTTTGCGACGCTACTAGTTTTTTATCTTAAGAGCTATTGTTCTACTTTTTTCGCTATTTGGTTCGTTATGGTGTCGAGTCTTGTACCAAGGAAGGAATTTTTTCTGTACCGCTTACAAAAAAAGTTATTGTAAAAAAAACAAAAAACCGTTTTTTACATGTTCCATAATTTTACACTTTTGCCGTTTATTAACGATCTTAGAGATCGTTTATAATTTTGCATTGCTATCTGTCGCCTGCCGGTTGGTCTCTCCGTCTGTTCCTTTGTCTGTCTGTCCATCTATCTGTCCGTGGGAACGATAACTTTGTTTAGAAATGTTCGATCGCTTTTACATCTCCGTTAGTTATGAACTGAATTGCATGAAATTCAATATGGGCATAGCTTTAACCATAAATACGCAATGCCAAAAGTTGAATCGAATCAATTCAAAATTCACAGTGCCCTTTTCGCATCTCGACCATTTATAAACCGAATTGCAAAATTTTTTACTTATAAAAGTATTTGAATGAAATTTGATACATAGGCACTTGGAATAAAGGAAAATCAAACGCCAATTTCAAAATTTGGTTTTGCGAATGCGCAGTGCCAACTTTTTTATTTATGGAAGAATTTAAACGAAATTTGATACATAGGCACTTGGGATAAAGGAAAATCAAACGCCAATTTCAAAATTTGGGTTTGCGCATGCGCAGTGCCAACTTTTTTATTTATGGAAGAATTTAAACGAAATTTGATACATAGGCACTTGGGATAAAGGAAAATCAAACGCCAATTTCAAATTTTGGTTTTGCGCATGCGCAGTGCCAACTTTTTTATTTATGGAAGAATTTAAACGAAATTTGATACATAGGCACTTGGGATAAAGGAAAATCAAAAGCCAATTTCAAAATTTGGTTTTGCGCATGCGCAGTGCCAACTTTTTTATTTATGGAAGAATTTAAACGAAATTGGATACATAGGCACTTGGGATAAAGGAAAATCAAACGCCAATTTCAAAATTTGGTTTTGCGCATGCGCAGTGCCAACTTTTATATTTATGGAAGAATTTAAATGAAATGTGATACATAGGCACTTGGAATAAAGGAAAATCTAGCGCCAGTTTCAAAATTTTATTTTGCGCATACGCCGTGCCAACGTTTTTATCTATGGAACTATTTAAGTGAAATTTGATACTTAGGCGCTTGGAACATTGGAAAATCTTAGTTTATTAGTTAGTTATAGTAAATTAGTTTTAAAATTTAGGTTTGCGCATGCGCAGTTCCAACTTTCTTATTTAGAAAAGCATTGAAATGAAATTCTTCTCATAAACTGAAATTGAAGTAGCACGTTAAAAATGGATTGCCCATGTGCAACGCTATCTTTCATATTTGTGGCCGGATTTTTACGATTTTAACAGAAGTTGCATCTTACAAATGGGAAATGAATGCAAGTGAAAATGCGCTTTATGTAAATCGTTTACGATTACTTTTTAACTTGTTGAAAAATGCATTCGAAGTGTTAGTACGTTAACTGTGGCGCTTCGCGTCGCAAAAATTCAAACTTGCATTTTTTTTCGTTTCCGCGTAATTCGGAACTTCAAAAAGCCTGGATACGTATGTGTGGCAATGCTGATTTGTTAACTATTGACGATGAAAATTTACACAATTTCGTTTTGTGTGAAAATCATTTTAGTGATAAGTGCTTTACTAGTGGACTTATGGACTAAAGAAATCGCTTAGTAAGGATGCCATCCCGAAGCATTACAAAGTAAGTTATTCCTATGCATATTTACCCAAAGATCATATTATGTTTGCATAAATCGTTCATTAATACGATTGTTCTAAACACGTAGGAGTTTTTTTTAATAGCTTGGGCATTAGGACCTGTCAACTGAAATTTCCCTTTTGAAAGAAGTCAGCATAAATTTGTACGTTTGTTTGCTTGTGTCTGTCAATTTATAACAGTAGATAAGGAATAGCCTAAGGATCAAAATCTATATCATGCCAAAGGGCGTTTTCACCCTAGGGTGGTGGCCACCTCATCTCGGGGGTGGAATTTTGATTATAATTTTACCACAGTAATAGATATAAAAGTTAATTTTAATCAAAATTCTTCTATGCATTTATATGTAAAGTCAATACTTTTTGAGTTATTCGCGATCGAAGGTAGGTATCAGTTTTTCATAGAAAAGATCAATGTTTTTTATTAGTTTTTTGCGAAGAACTCGAAAAGTATGCATTTCATTTAAAAAAACTGAGGAAAACAAAATCGTAACTTAAAAAAATCAAAAAAATAGTTTTTTAACGATTGGTGTATCACCAATTCGAACCAAGTTATAGCTTCCTAAAGGTTAGCTCTTGTTCGACAAACGCTAAATTCAAAAGTTTCACAGTCAACTAACGGCAAGACTATGAAATTTTCGAGAAAAACTTGTAGAATCTTTTTTTAAAGTACATAGGTATTTAAAAAAAACAGTATTTTTTTAAGATAAAAACGTGAGCATAAAATTGATTAAAATAAGGTAAATCCCTACTTTTTCCAGCGAAAAGTTGGGTGAAAACAACCCCCACTAATTACCACCCTAATTAAAATTAGTGCTTCTCCTTTTCCAGTTTTATCTAATCACATATTATATTATTAATACTTACATTCTAGGAGTGTGTCCAGTTTAAAATTCTTAATTCTGAAATAATTGAAATTAAAAGTGAAAAACGAATTTTTGAAATTCTGTGAAAAACGCCCTGCTATTCAAA